ACAAAGGAAACAAATACTAACTCAGCTGCAGCTATTCAGGCCGTTTTTAGTTAAGTTGTCCATGCTTTGAGATGTCCGTTATCAAGAACAACGAGTGGGCATGAAGACAAGAGAAACCTTACCTGGATTAGGCACAGGGACTTTGGTCTGCGTTTTGACCTCACAGTAAAATATATCTGTGATGGTCATTGAGTGTGTCCAGCCCCTTCTTCTTCTCTTTCCTATCTCTTGTCAAATCAATTCACCAATAAATGTTAATCAATTAAGTACTAAAAGCATAACCATCCTATAACTTTGACACTTTTAAAGTGTGTTTCTGGTTCATGAAAGCTAGTTGTTACATTTTGGTTGACGCAAAATGTGTCGTTCAGCAATCTGCTCCACCCTCGTGTAAACTATCAAAAAACATATCTATAGCCAAAATGCCAAACTCCAGGCTAGAGTCATTCGTGGGCGTTGTTGTATTAGAGACCGCTTCTAGCCAAGAAACAGTGCAGCAATGCCGATCACTCAAACTGTTTCCTGATTGGGCGTAACACATTATAAAAGAGAGAAGGAATCATGGTGATCACTGGATGCGATCCAACACATTTGTTCTGTGGGGAGTGTGTCTCTATTAGCAAATCAACAGCATACGAATGAAAGGTAGGAGTCAAATGTAAAAAGTTACGACTTCCTTTAAATAAAGGTTTAGATTCAATGGGTCAGCTGGTTGTTTTGGGTCCAGTATTTTTCTTGCACCATTACATATACTCACTGCAGGACACACACAACCAAACACACTAACAAACAAAGAATAAACACATACACAAAACATTTTGTATGTATTTTTTATTTGATTATTAGGAAGTCTAATAGTTTTAGAACAAGATGGCAGTGTTACGTAATATTAATATGATTAATATTTAATGTAAATACATTATGTACTGAAATGCACATGCAGATATACTTAAAACCACAACAAGCTAAAATGACTTGAACTATAGAAGAAAATACTAATGTAAAGCCTCAATAAAAGTATACTTGTTTAGTATGGTGGAGAAATCAATAGTAGTGTTTCCATAGCATTTCCACAAAGAAGCTACACTCACAGTTTTCAATATATAATATAAAGTCATATATTACTAGAACTTTACTGTAGGATATATTTATGTCACTGACGGTTTATTTGGAGCTTCGGCCGGAGAATTCACAAGACATGTCCCGGGCCACGAGTTGACCACACGGTAGAGATGCCACAATCAATTCTGAAGAACTCTACCCCAGACCCATGTTAGCTAGTTCAGAGAGAATAATCAACATTGAGCAGAACAAGATAGAACCATAACACCTTTATCAGCTGATCCAACAGGCAGGAACATAGAACCATAACACCTTTATCAGCTGATCCAACAGGCAGGAACATAGAACCATAACACCTCTATCAGCTGATCCAACAGGCAGGAACATAGAACCATAACACCTCTATCAGCTGATCCAACAGGCAGGAACATAGAACCATAACACCTCTATCAGCTGATCCAACAGGCAGGAACATAGAACTATAACACCTCTATCAGCTGATCTAACAGGCAGGAACATAGAACCATAACACCTCTATCAGCTGATCCAACAGGCAGGAACATAGAACCATAACACCTCTATCAGCTGATCCAACAGGCAGGAACATAGAACCATAACGCCTCTATCAGCTGATCCAACAGGCAGGAACATAGAACCATAACACCTCTATCAGCTGATCCAACAGGCAGGAACATAGAACCATAACACCTCTATCAGCTGATCCAACAGGCAGGAACAGAGAGACAGAGCACTGAGAGCACAGCAGGTGCCTGAGCTCAGTCAGGACAGCATGAACTGATAAACTGGGTCACAGTTATGGGCCTTGGAAAATATTTCCCCAACACTAGACACTAAAGCCCCGGACACACCAAGCCGGTTTTGGCCGTCGATGGATGTCAGGCCGACGATGAGCGTCCTGTCGCCCTACTCAGATTGGTGTGTCCCGCACCGTTGTGACTTTTCGGCCGTGTCGACACCTTTTTGGCCGATTGGCCACAGGCTGTCGGCAAAAGAAATCACTCTGATTGGCTGTTCAGCTTAGCGAATCGGTGCATGAGAAGCTAAACGGAAGTGAGGGACCCAAACAAACTATTAACCTCTTAAGGACGACGGTCCCCCCATTGGACCCCTCCCACCGTTTTTCTTTCGAGACAATGTCTCAGGGCTTCTTAACATTTATGAAACTATTAATGTGTAGCACCAGATTAACGGGAAGAATCTCAGCTAACTGAAGATATGAACCATTTTTACCAAAACAAAACACAAGTCTCATAAGAAGCGTCTAAATGACCCCTGAGCGAAAAAATGCAAACTGACTTTGGCACACAATTCAAGATAAAGATACCCTTATTACTTATCGTAGCTGCACATACAATATAGCCGATTAAAGCTGAGACTCCACAGATTATTTAGGTATAGTATCATCACTGAGCGATCCGAACTTGCGACAGGGGAAGCAAACACAGACATCACAACACGTACCTTTACGGAGCTTTTACGGGAGATCGTCTCATCGTAGCTGTCAATTAGGTCAAAAGACGTGTTCAATGGCATTAAAACGAAAAAAAAAAATGCTATAACTGTTGATCCATAGGTTGATAATGTACCTGTGCCTTTGAAAAAATTATTTATAATCCATAATTCCATTTTTATGTAAAAATCGGAGCGGAAAAGTTAGCTGCTAATGGTAGCCACCAGAGTGTATGCAGCTTCCGGTTTTGGTCACGCGTCACTCTCACTCCTTATTTGTTAACGTTTTGGTGTGTTTATAACTTTCCCTCGATTCCATCGAGAGGCGAAGTCCCTCCCCTTCCGGTGGACCTCCATGGGACCTTATTTCGGAACAATTATGTATTGAAGTCAATGGAGAGAGAAACATTATCTTTCGATCCCGTTTGAATTGTGCCACAAATTACACATATGATGTTTGTCAATTTAAAAGATAATTTTGCAAGTCAACACATTTGTTTGTGTGAAATGCTCAATGAACTACATCTCTGGTCTCGCAGAACAACACACGTCACCAAGATGGCCGTCACTACTGTCTTGTCAACAAAACGATTGACTACCCTCACTATCACCACAATGAAACACGTCCTGAAGAATGTCATGCAAAGCTGCCTGCCTGCCTTCCTTTGATTCTCTCTGAACTGCCTGGTCGTTTTAATGTTTAATGTCAACCATTTGTGCAGATAGCATGAAGTAGAGAAGATCGCCGATGCTAGCGTTAGCGTTAGCATTTCTCCCCCAGGCTTAAATGGTGTATTATAGAATGATCACACCGGTGACAGTACTCTTCAAAGGGTTCACGAAATATGACTACTACTCTTACAGTTTAACATTTTGGGTTACTTAATGTTACTTCATGTTAAGGCTAATAAAAATGACAAGGCTGTAATGCTAACTAACGTGCTAGCTACTAGCTAGCTTGATCCACACACTCCTGGTCCTTTCATCAGACGGGAAGCGAAAGAACGAGCAAGACCCATTGCTGGTATGAACAACCTGGTACTAAGCACACAGGCATCTTGTTAAAGTTATCTTATCTTAGCCAGCGCCATATAGATAGATTATATCTATATGGCGCTGATCTTAGCTATCTCTCAGTGGAGGAAAACAATTGTGACATCACTTACGCGACTCTGGGATTTGTAGTCTTTCGAGTTGCGTATTTTTCATAGTCTTATATTTCAACAGTTTTACAACAAACTGTGACTTTTTTGACATGGAAATTATTTTTTAAGATTCACAAACATCATATGTGTAATTCATGGCACAATTCAAACGGGATCGAAAGATACGTTTTCTCTCTCCATTGACTTCAATACATTATTTTTCCGAAATAAGGTCCCATGGGGCGGAAGTAGATGGGCGGGACTTCGCCACTCTATTTGTTAACGTTTTGGTGTGTATAGAACTTTCCCTCGATTCCATTGGCTCTAGCGGTTATAAAGAGATTTCATTCATCCAAATTGAGCAAGGGGGGCCAGAGATATGGAAAATCCACCCAAATGACCCCAGAAGTGGTTTCTTTTTGCTAAATCTCTCTAAAAAGGTCAAATTTAACTTGTTTTGCATCAATCTTGATACAGGGTACTTATTATATGTTGTACTTTGGATTCCTAAAGCTTTTAGTCTACTAACCCATCATCCAAGGGTAGTTTTCACTATAAGTAAAAAATAATTTTTGGACGTACACTATAATTTACAGTTTTTTACGATGTAAAATCTGAATTTTCTTTAAAATAAAAAACATCTATATTGATTCTGACTTTTCTACATCCAACTCACAGGTTTATCATTACTTTGAGAAAAAAGATTATTAATTTAACCCTTTTAGAAGGGAAGATATTGTCATTTGTTCTGGGAATGGCATTTTCGAGCCTGAGACCTGAAAAACAACCTCAGGGCTTAAGAGGTTAAGAAGGCAAATCTGAGATTTCATTTAACTCCAACTGTCGACACAGGTTGGGGAAAGCCCCATGAGCTTCTGGCTGTAGAGTGAAAATGGAACGCACACGCTATTTGTTGTTTGTTTATATCACGCAGTCTGTTCTTCTTCTCTCGGTGTATCACGCAGTCTGTCTTCCGGTTGTTGCCTCTTTTGAATGACGAATACACACTACCGCCACCTGCTGGTAAGGAGAGTTATTGCCACTCACGCATGCGCAGTTCGTACGTGCTTCTTGGCCGTCGGCTGAAGTCTTTGCGGTGTGTTCCAGTGCGACACATGGCCACAGGAGACGGGAGGCGACACAAGAGTCGGGTCCGTCTGTGTGAGTTCTTTGGTGTCAGCTTGGTGTGTCCCTACCTTTAGGGTTGGTGATTAGATGCATAAGGTTGCATATAAGGGCGCATAGTTGACAGGAAAAGGAAAGCACAGGTAGAGGGAGCGCACACAGTTCTCACCAGATCTACAGACAAGAAACACTCACTTGCAGAATTGGAAAACCTCTTAATGTTCAGGGTTACACCATGGCTGTTCAAGTGATCCATGCAGTGTTATGAGTGAACATCAACATTAAAGGCAGATTAAAATGTGTAACGTGACACAGCACAATGTAGTAGATTAATTACAATGCATAGTGTCTGCCCATTTTAAGTTAACATTTATAATAGTAATATATGGTTGCATACTCTTTATTGAGCATAGCATAACTTGCTCTCATTAATCAGAAATGCATTATGATGAATGATTTCCCCCTGGGGGTTCATGTATTGATTCCTAACAAGTCAGTTCAACCCTCGACCCCCTCTTAAAAATAACAATGAGTTTTGTTTAAAACTTTGGTTCTGACCAACCAACCTAAACTACTGATGGGGGACTGGCGTTAATGAACATGTTCATTGAAGCAATGTTCTAATCAAGTCAGTCTTGAGACAGGTTTTAAAGTTTGTCAAAATGTGTTGCTATGATCAATATAAAGTTTAGATGATCGTTAGGGTTAGGGTTAGGGTAAGCAAATCTCTCTCAGAGGGGCGTGGGGAGGGGCTCCTTATTTTCATCTAAAGTAACAGACAGAGAATCAGCACTTTGGAAACAGGGCTGAAACAGAGGGGATTATGGGTAATGCTGCAATGATCTGTTTGGTGTTTCAGCCAATCAGAGACAGGCTCTGGATATATCTGAGACCTGTGATATATTGATGAAGAGGAGGATGATAGGGGACCTCTAACATTCATAATGCACCCGTTATGTGCGTAGCAGGACTTGCTGTAATTCTTTAGAAATAAATGATGTTTAATGATTTCTCCCTAAGGGTCCATATAGAGAACAAGTCATTGTGAACTCTACGGCCTCTATAAAACAATCAGGAGTTCTTAAACTTGTTATCGGAACAAGGCTTCATGATATCCTCTAACAGCTTTATAAACACTACAAAACTCATTTTGACCATTTTAGCCAAGTCTGAAGGTCTCAAAAAAAAAGGTGTATAATTTGGTGTTGGGGTCTTTGACTTTAGACACCCCTCCCCCCCCCCCGGGCTTGCAGTTTAATATCATTGCGGTGTTGAAGACGGTTTACCTGGGGATATGGGTCGGCATACGCCTATTTAACATTGGATGGCTTTTGAATAAGTGACGTACCTAATCTACTTTGCTAATTTCCTCTATAGCTACAAACTTGCTGAGATACAAGTTGGATGAGTTAAAACAGACTTTTATGGGGGGTAAGAAAAACAAGTTCTTAAAATGGACCGCCACTCATTTACCCCTAGTTAGTTACCACTACTCGTCTTCTTTGGTCCATTTTGAAAAGATGACAACCAAAAACACAGCGGACACTGTGACATAGACAAAAAAGAAAATGATGTCCAATTTTCTAGCCACCCTGGTCCAGTAGCCGGGCTTCCTCTCTTCCTTCCTGCGCTTCCTCTCTTCCTTCCTGCTGAGGAGCAGAGAGAGTGCCTTCACCGCCTCACTCAGCGCATCTAGGAGCTTCTCCAAGGATTTGGACTCCTCCATCAGTTCGCCTCTTTGTTCCTGCAGAGGTTTTTAGTGGAGTGATCATTAACAAGTTTATAGACCATATCAAATTGAAAACCGTTTCACATGTACTATTCCTATTTGTGTCCATTGTGGTGAGAATAAAGTGTTAGTTCATCAGACACACATATTCACTTACAATGTCCATAGTGCTTAAAGAATTAATGTTTCATCTCAAATAAATCAACTGTATCTCTTTCCAGAACAACATCTCTGAAACTTTGAGTAATCTTAAAATGTTACTGTGAGCTTTTATACTTCCCTCATTTCAGTTTGCTTTGTCTTTAAAAAACATTCCCTTTACAGAGTACCCAACTCTCACCTCTTTGGCCATAGACAGCAGCTCAGATGGCGGGTCATCAGACACCTTACACCACCGAACACATTGAGTCCATTTCTTCACATCTAAAAATAAATGGTTGACACCGGACAGCAGCATGTTCAAAAGAATGTATTATTAATTGTAGATGTTTCTGTGTGTATAAAATATGAGTGAATACAATATACCAATAGTTCAAACCCACAGGTTTAAAGAATGTGTTCAGTCTCACCTCCATCATAGTTGCCCTGTTTGTCAGATGCAGAGTCTTTCTCAATCAGATACATCACCAAAATCGTCTCCAGAAGGTTGATCATCATCAAACCAAACATCCCAATGCAGTACACCGCTGAAGAGAAAAGGCAACGTCATTAAAGTGGACGAAAGGCAAGCCATTGTGGTTCCTGCTTGAATTAAATGAAAGTCCAATAAAAGAATGAGTCTGAGCTGCTTTACCTATAAGCGGTACCACGTCTGAAGAGGAAGGCAGCATCTCATTGAGAAGAAGCTGCATCACAGTGACAGCGAGCAGCACAGTGACCTTGAAGCTGACCTTCTCGCCCCCGCTGTCTGACATCAGGAAGGAGGCCAAGTCCAGACAGTATAAGAACATGATGGGCACTAAGAAGTTGGTGATGAAGACGCCTTGATTCCTCTTCATCGTGATCTGTGATCCAAGATGGAAAAACAGTGTTCACTAATGCTGCAATGATCAAAAACATTATTGATTATGGGTTTAAGTTATTTTGCATGCAATATGAAAGATATCGCTCCACTGAAATATGAAGTTTCCTGTTTATAGAATTCATTTATATTTTATATGTTGTCACAGTGGTTAAGGATGATTAAGTGGCCACCATCAAAAATGTGCGATTACAATGTTTCCAAGGAACAACAATGTCAATGGGTTTGCTCTCTTTCATTCTGCTGTTAAGAATACAAGCTAAATAAAACCAGCAAGTGGAGCTGCAGACATTTTCATGCAAAAGTTTGCAGAAATAAATAAAAGTAAAATGTAAAACACACTTACAGTATAAATGACGCTTTGCTTTTGACTAAGCTGTGGTCGGTACTGGACTGTCATGTTCATGAACTGCCAGTCAGACTGGATCCTTTGGCGAGTCATTTCAGTTACCATTTCACTGTCTTTGTAGAATTCAAACCTCAACTCCTCCACTAAGGTGAAAGTGAAGATACAAGTTTGAGATGTCTCATCAGGTCAACACAGGATACACGCATGTGCTGGTGTGTGCTCATGGGACAATTAGCCTTTAAAGAGATAATTACCACAAACGTGCAATCTAACACACAACATACATATTTGAGATAAATGTCTAGAAACTTCTGAAAGCTCACCTGGGTAAGCCATAGACGAGAGAGACAATGTGCAGCTCTGAGTATCAAAAGGAAATTTGTAAATGTTCATCTTGCACGAGCTGACCACCATAAGCTCCCTGGTTTGTGTAACGTAACCGTTCCACTGAATGGTGATGAAGGGATTTGGAACAGAGTTGTCCTTCTCTAACCTGTATGACAACAAACATACATTTGTACAAATGATAGCAAACACTTTATGCTTCAAACTGATTTTCACAATGTGTAATACTTCAATACAATGAAACATTTATCTAAATTATGATACTATTGTTTAAGTCTGTATTTTCCTAAAATGTAACCTCATTACTGTAAATATAGAAATACTATCCACACAGTATAACAATATCACACATCTCTGTATCTTAAATGAGATCAAGTCAGTTCAGGGGTATCTGCTTCATGGTTTATTGCATTCTAACCACAGCTGCTCTCCACACATAGGTGTACAACAACAAGTCCTCCAACTCATACGACCAAATGGGCCGATTGTTCAGGCCCTTATTACGACCAAATATGTTGTTTGTTCGCCAGGCAGCTTCCATGTAAAGTTACGGGTTGAAAACAGTATTTCCGGTCTCGACGTTTTCATAATAAAACCAATGATCAAATGATTTCACAGTGATATCTGCAGTACTCATCCACTAAAAAACATCAGTTTATCCTTGTTAATTATACGACATTAATTGGTTTAAATTGTGTACAATGCTTTTGTGTTTTTCCCATAGGTTTTTCTCTTTCGATTCTGAGAGACACCTTTCTTTTTTCAGAGGTTTTGATCGATGTTTTAGCCGCAATGCATGTTGGGATATGGTGTTTATGCGATATGAAATCGTAAAAACTTTTTTTTTAAATAAAATAATACCTTATTCCGAGTGTGCTTGCTTTTCTCTTTGGAAGTCATCACATAACGGCATTGTAATACACGGTTCGGCTGCATTAAATATGACACATCTGCCGTAGTTCTAAATGTATTGAGCCCTGATCAGAAGACTTCCAGACAAACAGGAACTGCCGCCAAAACTGAATACGTGACGTGGATCATAAATATATCAGCAATTAAACAACATCTTAGATTTATTTTTCACACAATACGTCTCCTTGTAGTATCAACACTAATTCGGCTGACTTTTATATTTGATCCAATTGGTAGATAGGCTGTATTTACCCCATACGGTGCACAGCTGATAGAAAGGGACTTTTTTGTAGTTTTTAAAGATATTACTGATTTACTGAACTACCTTTCCAACTCCTCATGCAGTTGACTGTTACAGGTCTATACAGGTTCATGGTACAATGCATAAGCTTCAAATCGAGAGACTGAAACTGTATTTTCTTTTACCGTTCTGTTTTAATTTCACAATAAAGTTAATAGTCATATTATGTTTGATATTATTATGTTTTATTAACTATACCACTGGTTTTTTAACCCGCACCGCCTAGTGGTTAAAGCACGTTATTGAATTTAGTTGTTGAATAAGTTATATTTGATGAAAACATTTAAATATTAAGAGTAGCCTACATACAAAATAGGGGGAAAGTAGAAGGCATGATAGAAATATAGAATAGAAAATATCAAGAAGATACTGTAGTGATCTCTACAATAAAACAGTTTAGTGCAGGACGTCCAAAGATATTAACAGGAGGATGTGCAAAACAGACAAACTAATAAGGCTTTATTTAAACACGTTGGGGGTATCCACAGATAAATATGAAGTCTGACAAAGTACTTCACATCTAATATATTGCATAGTTTATTTTGGCACTTGACAATCACCTTCCCTGAATTTGACTCAGGTGTAACTAAAGTCTGATTTAAGGGTTGTTTATATTCCACATCATTAATCAGAATCTGCAAAGTAACTAAAATAAATGTAGTGGAGTAAAAATACCAGGTTAACCTCTGAATTGTAGTGGAGTAGAACAAAGTAGTACATGCTGCTGTAACAAAAACATTTCCCAACTTGGGATCAATAAAGTATATCTTATCTTATCTTATCTTAAGATGATCGATGGCTACAGCCATATTTGCAAAATGTGCCTCTGAACCTTGACAAGTGCATGTTTCAGGCTTATCAATGAACAACAGGAGGGGTCACAGACATAAGACCAGCTGTTAAATAAAGCTCTTCTGACCTTAGCTGTCATGTGGGTATATTAATTCACCCATTTATTAATTATATGTTTTCAATGTGATAACACCACTGTGTTTCGTATCCCCTAAACCTTCAGGGTGTACACAGTTTAATACGGGCAACTTCTAATTATGGGAAATACGAAAACGTCTTATAAAGAGACGTGCCCATGTGTAGTTGTGGGGGGGGGAGGGGGGGGCTGGACCCGTCCAATTCCAGTTTTGGAAAGTCTGCCGTGGTTCCATTCCATTTCAAAGAGCTGTTTGACGCTCAGTGTAACCTTGTCGCACTGCCACTCCAACATCCAATCACAGGGCTTGATGACTAATCACGGGGTTTGTAAAGCAAGGCGGATGTTGTAGTCCCAAACGATAAACGATGGGGATTCTGGATAGTGTAGTGTCTTCGGAAACTGTAGTGTCTAAACTTTGTTTCTCTGAATCGAAGGTTAAAAACACAAAAGCATTGTACACAATTTAAACCAATCAATATTGTGTAATTAACAAGGATAAACTGATGTGTTTTAGTGGATGTGTAATGCAGATATCACTGTGTAATCATTTGACAGTGAGGGGAATACATCCGGTTTTATTATGAAAACTTAGAGACCGGAAAAACTGTTTTCACCCACGCTAACTTTACATGGAAGCTACCGCATATACACGTTCTCCTGGCGAGACCTCAAATCATCTTCGTAATATCTATCAAACTATAGATCCTACACATCGACTGGACGTGGATTCTAAGAGTACAATATACTTCTCGCCAGAAATCGAATCAAAAAGCATTTTAATGGCCAAACTATTCCACAATTTAGGATTTTCCAGAGAGGGTTATTTGTGAATAAACGTCCCTCCGGAGCGTTTGCAATGAACGGGTGTATGTTGTTTCAACATACACTTTAAAACATGTCTCTGGGTCGTAATAAGGGCATGAACAATCGGCCTATATGGTCGTTTTTGTAGGACGACAGGCTGGTGTACAAATATCATTGTAAAAAAACAATATGTTTAAACCTTGTTGCATCATCTTTTTACATCCATATGATTTATTATAATGTCCTTCTTAATAATAACACGCTCCGTCACCAGTTACTGTTGTGAGTGTGTGGATTTGTGAGTATGCACAAACATTCCAACTTACATCTCTTCAATCGTTACATCTGGCTTCCACAACAAATCAGCAGGAACTCTCATCTTATAAAGGCCATCAAATTGATCTGGGTCCCAACAAATATGCGGATGTTCCCATTTCTACACAGGAAAACAAGGAAGAAGGGAAGAAAACAAGATAAATAAAGACTTTAAGATGCAATCTGCAGCAACTCCTTTCTACCTACAGTATAATAAACAGTAAAGGAAAATCACAAATTGGTTCTCAAAACAAACTCACCATATAAATCTGAATGAAAGAAACGAAAGTCTGGTCCATCTCCCTCTGTAACCGAAGAAATGGTGTGAACATCTTTACCACATTAAGGTAGCGGACCTTCTATATGCAAAACTGTCATAAAACATTGTACTTTGAAGTTAGCATGCTGACTACCTTCAGCAAGTGGAAAAGAAGTGAAAGCTCCTTCGTGCGGGATCACACTAAGCAAAGCCCCAACAATGTTTCTTCAAAAATTCAAGGTAGCATTGGAGGAGAAATTGATTAAAGGTATTATTTTTGGGGTGACATCCTTTTTGTGGACACTTTGTCGCACTATTCTGACTTCTATATGCTTCCTTCAATAGTGCTAGTATCTGGCTGTTTCCTAGAGATACTATGTACAAGTACTGATCTGGTACAAACCGTACTATGACGCTGTCCCTGCAGAGATCCACAACATCCCCACGCTTCACGCCTTCAAAAGGGCCCTCAAGTCCCACCTGTCTGCCAAGGCCTTCGACTGTCTGTCTGACTGTCTGTCTGACTGTCTGTCTGACTGTTTGTCTGACTGTCTGTCTGACTGTCTGTCTGACTGTTTGTCTGTCTGTCTGACTGTCTGTCTGACTGTTTGTCTGACTGTCTGTCTGACTGTCTGTCTGACTGTTTGTCTGACTGTCTGTCTGACTGTCTGTCTGACTGTTTGTCTGACTGTCTGTCTGTCTGTCTGTCTGTCTGTCTGACTGTCTGTCTGTCTGACTGTCTGTCTGACTGTTTGTCTGACTGTCTGTCTGTCTGTCTGTCTGTCTGTCTGACTGTCTGTCTGACTGTCTGTCTGTCTGTCTGACTGTTTGTCTGACTGTTTGTCTGACTGTTTGTCTGACTGTCTGTCTGACTGTCTGATAAACTGTTTTATCTAAAATCAAAGTTATACTTACCACATCTAGAACTGCCAGAAGTAACATTTCGAGATAGACCCGTGTTGGTTCCCTGTAGTCTTTGACAGGTCGGATCATTGAGTACAGCTCCTTGGTTTTGGTCAGGTTCAGGTGCTTTAACACATCTTCATAGGAGACATTTGTTCCTATTGGGAGGACATCAAGACAATATCTCTATCAGAGAGTTACTTATTCATATATCTCTCTCTCTCTCTCTCTCTCTCTCTCTCTCTCTCTCTCTCATGTCCTAAACCAACTGATTATGGGCATTCACTCATTCAGTTAAACCAACAAGATGTTGCCATGATCTCAATCAGCCAGTAATGTAGTTGCTGTCTGTCCATGTAGCCTGTTTAAAACACCCTATTTATGTTTAGTCAACATACCTGATTCCCACTTTGAGCTCATCAGAAGACCACTCCTCACCACACACAGAGCTTCAGCATCTTCCTCATTTCATCATCACCAGGGTTTAGACTCCACAGGTGGGTCAGTACTCTACTTACGGCTTCACCAGCCCCTTCAGATATCTGGTATCACGTTGTTGTCTTATCCACATGAATCAAATTATTTTAGGCTAAAACATGTGCCTTAGAAATAAGTCATCAAATCAAATCAAATTTTATATAGCACATTTTTAAACGATTTTTGGTCGAGCCAAAGTGCTGTACAAAAATACCCTACAGTAAAGACACTTTACAGCAAATACAACAGCACAGTTTGTTCAGAATATCAGTATGAGAAAACAACACCCTCTGTCCTTAGACCCTCTGTCCTTAGACCCTCTGTCCTTAGACCCTCACATCGTACAAGGAAACACTTCCAGAGAAAACCCACAGTTTAAAGGGGAACATGTGAGAAACCTCAGGGAGAGCAACAGAGGAGGGATCCCTCTCCCAGGATGGACAGATGTGCAATAGATGCCATGTGTAAATCGAAAAGATACAGATGGAGCATCTTATTTCTGACAGTTTGAAACGCGAGGGTCGTGATGAAGAGCCGGCCCCCAGTCTGACTTGATACCGCCCCCGTGATTAATAAATGTAATTATTGTGAAGCCAGCTGCAATGGATCATTGATCCACCAGGGGGTGCAGTGGGGTTCCACACTGGAGCTCATGTGAAATCAACTTCGATACAGTAAGCTGGATGTACAGTATGTCTGGTACTAATGTATAGCGGATCTTTGATAAGATCCATGTCACGGATAGGATCATAGTCTGTGCTAAATAAGACATGTAATCATTTACAAAACATCACCATGTTGTTATTTAACAAAATAATGTTGTTTAGTCGAATAAAACGAACGAGAGGAAATGCAGCCGGCTCTCGATTTTTAATCCTAATTTAATCATCATCTTCACCACGATCATTTATGTTTATGTTTGCCGAATTGACATGAAATCACTGACAAATATGAATATTCTGTATTCAACTTCATTGAAACGATCAGGATCCCTGGGTGTTATTTTTCCCCACAATGACCAAGTTGTTGCAAATTATCCCGCTTATTACATGGCCACATTCTCAACAAAGTACGACATGACTCCCAATCTTAATTGAAATGCTTTTATGGATTTAGAAAATGTTTTTATTGATTTAAAAAATAGTTGTATTGATTTAAATTGACATGCATCCGCTGAGAGAAATAGTCACTAGACACTTGACACAGTGGCTTTAGGCAAAGCAGAAAAAGAACACTCAAACCGAGAGATGTTATTATTACAACGTGACTTCACTATTATTTAACAACTGTTTTTATTGGGTTCTTTTATTTGGGGTTAAGTATAGGTGAATTGCACTAATGTGGGAAAGATCGTGATGTCTCCTCCGATCTGCTTTATGATCTTCTTTCTCCCGCTGTGTAGATTGGGGGACCGCCGTCCTCTGTCTTCAATGTTCGACATTGCGTGAAACAGAAGATTTCGACATTCTGTATTCATTGCTTACTTCCTTAAACCTTTTCTCCTCCTTATCTCTTTCATGACTTTTTATTTAATGCTTTATAACAGCTGTAATAGTTCGTTTAGAAATCTTAGAAACACTTTTACGGCAGCTCTCATTTACGGTAACTCCTTCTGACGTCATAGCTACCCACGTATAATATATAAACAAAGTCTTGGCTTTCAGAATATTAAACTTTTATTTCCTCCTCCCTCCGGCTGAAATTATGAATGTACAGTAAGGCATATAGTAATCATAGATAACACGGCAGGGTCCGTTACAGTTTGTTTTCATCTGATTTCAAATAAACAAAGTCTGGCTTTCAGAATATTATACTTGTTAAGGCAAATTTAGATGATAAATACAACTATGAAGCTTGTAACGGCATAATTACAAGCGGAGAACGGAGTAATTTAACGTTACAGCAGGCATAACAACAGCCGGTGTTTATTTTATTATTATATATAGTCGTTATTCATTTGTTTTAAAGCTCAATAAGGAAGATTTAAACTTTAACACACGTTGACCGGCGAAAAACTCTGCCCGGTTCCCTCGGCCCCCACCACGTTGAATAAACAGAAGGCTGCTTTTGTGGAGGAAGTTACAGCGCTACGTACAGGCTCGGCATATGCAGCTTTTTCCAGCGGTATCCATAAATCTCTTAATTTTGACCTCAAAGTGCACCAGATTGATGCATTTAACTTCAATATAAAGAAAAACATCTTCTGTTGTTACAACAATAACATTATAAATAGTAACATAGCTGAACATGGTATTGCACATTTAGCTTTCAGTGTTACTGACCTGAGATGTTTTTATTACATGAATTAAGGTGACTGAGGCTTTTTAACATAGACTTTTCAGTGTCCCACATACCGTTCACCATCCCCCACCCCCCTACTGTATGTTGATTTTTTACTTTGTTTGCCTACATGTAAATGGGTGGCATTTAGTACCTACCCCCCTCTGAGTGAATACCTGCTTAGCTACTTGGCACTAAGTACAGATATGTCTACCCTTTCTTCTTAGAGTTAGCCAAGAGGCTATTTTTCATCTGTAGTTAGTTAGATTTTAAAAGTGAATCTAAAACACATTTCATTTTAAACAAGTAAATACAATATATTTAAAACATGCAACATACACTGTAAACAAAATCTGTAATCTAGGCAATAAATTGCCGTATTACCCACAGTCATTTACTTTTAATTTGTAATACAGTGTGATACTGTACATTATGCTGCACTGTGGGAATATTATCCTTAGGCGGGAAATGTATGTAAGCTGGAGTCTGAAATAAGCTAAAAATATGTATTTCTTAATAAACTAAATAGGCCACCATTGGTAGCAGTTCTCATTATATACTTCTCAGTAACTGCTCCCCTTAAATTAAATGTATTCTGTAGATTTTGGGGATTCATTAACCTGTTAAGCACCAAGCCTGTTTTTCATGTTTCAGGCTCGAAAATGACATGCCCGAAACAAATGACTACAACTTAACTTCTAAAAGGGTTATATGAATAATTTCTTTTATCAAAGCAAGGTTACATCTGTGAGTTGGATGTAGAAGTGTCAGAATCAATATAAATGTTTTTTATTTTAAAGAAAATTCAGATTTTACATAGTAAAAAACTGTAAATTATTGTGTCCGTCCAAAGATTATTTTTTACATATAGTGAAAACTACCCTTGGATGATGGGTTAGTAGACTAAAAGCTTTAGGAATCCAAAGTACAACATATAATAAGTACCCTGTATCAAGATTGATGCAAAACAAGTGACATTTGACCTTTTTAGAGAGGTTTAGCCAAAACCACCCCACCTCTGAGGTGATTTGGGTGAAAATGTTTTTTTTTCCATATCTCTGGCCCCCCTTGGTCGATTTGGATGGTTGACACCTCTTTCTGACCGTTCCACCCACACACACGTTGTGAAGAGAAATGGTGGGGGCTGTGTGCATGTAAATGTGCAGCAGAGTGAAGCGATCTCTAGCTCTGGCATTTGGAAACGAAAAAGCAGTTGTATTGCTTATGGATTATCAGAAATCATTTCAAAGAGGACACAGATACATTGGATGAACCTATGGATTAACTGCAGCATCGTTGTTTTATCGTTTTAATGCCATTGAAGACCAGTTTTGACCAAGGTAAGCCATGTTAGCGTTTCTAGCTACCTAGCTCCACATGTTATGATGTATGCTTTCGTTTATAGCGTCGCAAATGTTTATCACTGAGTGTTGAGGTTTTTTACACAGACTCTGTGTCTCCAGGAGACCAAAAACGAGTGGTTGGCTGTGCATCTAGGATAAGTAATAAGGGAGTTATTGTGAGTTTAAGTGCCGTTTTAGGTTACATTTTTTCGTTCGTGGCTAATTCAGAGGCTGAGTGTTAGCATTGTGGGTTTTTTTTGGAAAAAAAAATTAAAAAGATCAGTTAGCTGAGTTTCTTCCCGTTACATGGATATAAAACATTCATAGTTTATCAAATATTAAGATTCCTTAGACGTTGTTTCCTGCAAATGACGCGTTTATCCGCCCGGTACCGGGGGGGCCGTGCGTAACAGGTTAATGCATTTATTGCCATCACCATGCTTTTTCAAGACTCTTTTAAATTCTATCATTTTATAAGGACTTTTCAGATGTCTGAGTGTAATATCTGCATTTTCTATTTTGGTTTGATAAGGACACATCCTGGGGATTGTGTTTACAAACATTGACCATACCGTTCACCATCCCCCACCCCCCTACTGTATGTTGATTTTTGACTTTGTTTGCCTACATGTAAATGAGTGGCATTTAGTACCTACCCCCCTCTGAGTGAATACCTGCTTAGCTACTTGGCACTAAGTACAGATATGTCTACCCTTTCTTCTCGCCGTTAGTAGTGCGTGAGGCCATATGTACAGATATGTACATGGGACATGAAAACAGTGCATCTCTATTTGACAAAAATAAACTTCGCTAACCGAGTTTTCCAAATCACTCAAAATATGGGTACATTAGTGTTTAAAGTCGGGGGAACTGTTTTAATTCAAGAGGAGAGTGTATTTTAAGTGTTACCCGGTGAGCAGCGCCGCAAACATGACTACATGAGTGTTAAAAGTGGTCAAACTGTTTTAATTCAGTCATAATTGTCATTTTTAGACTGTGTACATTGGAGTCAACAAACAGACAGAGATATGGACATAAACCTGTCAGTATAGACACAA